AGGCTCCGCCTGGGTGTGAAACGGGTGCGACGACAATGATCTCGAGGCCAATCCAGGTCCGGTTCGCACCCCGTTGAGCATGTCTGGGGTCACTGCCGACTGTGGCTACTCAGACTGCTTTCCTCAGAATTTCCAGCAGCGGTCGTATGCACAATTTAATGCGGAGGAAGCGTGGTGTGCCAACATAAAAATAGCTTTTTTGTTGTTGTTAGTGTACTGCAGTGATTTTACCAGTTTACATGTGGTTCTCAACAAATTCCGCTTTTTGTGTGAGTCCTTGCAACGAGACATTAGTTTTTATTTTTGCTAACATATCCATGTATGAATGTGTGCGTTCTACGCACTGATTATACTCATCAACTTAAAAAAGCTAGTTTTGCACATAATTCATGCGCTGTACGATGTAGTTCTGCCATATACAGCTGCTACAAAACAGAAAAACACAGTTCTTTTGCATCTGCACCTTCATTACACTGCTCAACAATAGCTTGCCATATTTTCCAAGGTCGATCTGGTAAGTCCTAGCACCAATACCAGACAAGCCATTGGTAATTCAAAAGGAGCCTAACAATGCCTTTCGGTTTGCGAGTTCGTGTGCATGCCATTCAGAGTGAAAAGCACTCCGACGAACTTTCCGTGATCTGTGGACCAGGTGTAACAAGGACTTCCATTCCGTTATGCCTACATTCACCATATTCTCGTTCTACTGATGGCATCTTCATATTCTAGTAGCTCTTTTTAAGCTGAGTGTCGTCATGCACTCCACAAAAAGAAGAGGTGCAGCAGATTAGTAACCATCCGAATGTTTAGCTACTTACCTACAGACTTATTTTTAATGTTGAAGCAGATTACAGTCATGCTGAGATGCTGGGACAAGAAGTTAACTGGACAAGCTCTCCGAGCACTTACTCTCAACGCTCTTCATACAACTCAACTTCTGATGCCATGCTTCAACATGCATAAACCCTGTCCTAGAAAAAGAAATCTCTAAGGTGCCAATTTCCCGCACAGCTGGATCTGAACCGCAGCAGAACACCCTTTAGTCCAGGGTACCGTCCTAGGTCATACCGTTACTGCTGTGGCCGAGGATCAGTTGTAACCATGGTGCCACCTGCTCAGCGACCATGGTGAGGGATACAAGGATTCAGCGTCTGGCTGCTCCTCTTCAAGTGTCATCGTTTTGCACGCCATCTTACACTGATGACAAGTTTCCATATCAAAGTCATATAAAGACCTGATTGTCTCCTTAGTTAGGAATGCCAAGAGTGCAGAAACTTGTTCCAGTTGGGGAGAAAGAGAGGAAGCAGCCAGCACTTGGTTGTATGGGCTTCTGCCTTTTGGCTGCCTCAGGCACTCGGCTGTGTGGAAGTTGTGCCATTAAACACCTTGAACCTTGAACCTTACTGCATATGAACAATTTATTGATTACAGTGTGACTGCTGGAGATAATTTTTGCTCACTAAACAAGGGAAACTGCTGTTCTTGCAGCTCCTGCCATGGAGCTAATCAAAACCCTCATGATCTTGAAGGACTTCGCAACTTGTCTTGTCGAGGAATTATGGTATGGAACTTCTGCCGATCTCTTAAGACCCCAGCTCTCAACAGAACTTTCTTTGCTTTCCGATGGGGGAGTAGACAGGGGCGGGGAGCCACTGCCGCCCTTGTTGCCTTCATAAAACTAACACGCCTGTTTAGCAGGAGGCTCCAGCGGTTCTGACATAAATATATAATCTTCAATTTGATGAACACACACAAAGCATCACAAAATGCTGGCAGAGCAGTTTTCAACAGATGAAGCCATGTAGAAACTCAACTTATTGGGCAAACTTCACCTCAGCATTACTGGACATACTGAAGGATGCGCTCTGGCACATAATGCGCGTGCCCACACCTGCCTTCAGAGTGGTGCAACCAGTCCATGCCACATGCAAATCAGAAATTCAGAGCCCACATCTATTGTGCACATGCATGATGGAGTGGTGCATGTGAGCAGCTCACTAGCTATCTAGTAGTTTCAGTTATGGCACAGCTTGGGCTCGCCACGATGCGTGCTTTGTTTTGGAATGTGGCACTTTTTTCAATTTTTTTAACACTGACCAATCGAAGCTGTATGTTCTTGGTTGGGCTACTGTTATATTTATTTTGCTTCTTTTTTTTTTGAGTTTGTGAATTTTAGTAGGTACAGTTTTTTTTTTATATTATTAAGGTTTAATGGTACTTTATAGTAAATTAGCTTCATGTAGAGCTGTAATTACAATATTTAATCAATGGTGTCCCCAAACTTAGAGGTTACCTGCATTTGCTAACTTCTAAAGTTGTGAAATAAACTATGATATACGGTAGTCAGCATTGAAATACAATAGGTTGCTCAAACTAATTAAATATTAAGAACGTTCCTAACATATTGTATACCAATTGGACGAATGCCCCCCGATATCCCCCGAATGTCTCCGATGTCGGAGGCCCCAATCTAAAAATTGGGGGCCTCCGATATCGAAGACATCTGATCTGTGGGAGAAGGGTCGGAGAAGGACGTTCCAGAGAAATCCTGGACGCACTTGAGGTAGCGTCGTACATCTACGCGAATTACGGTTTAGAACAGTTGTTGCTCGTGAAGCTGCTTTGTTCTTATCCGTTCGTGGTTGAGTCTCAGAGAGAGGACATTGAATAAGTTTTTAAGAACTCCCATGTTCTCTTTCAAATCTCTTCTCAAAAGGCAGTATGGCCTCATTCTCCGTGGGAAGGGGAATGCCGTCGAACTTAGAACAGTGGAGGGCCGAGATGCGGCCAGGCTTGACGATGACCCGTTTGCTACTGTCATGTGGGCTGTCCGGCACCGTCTGGTAGAGTCCACGCGTATTAGCACTCGGCGCTTTCCACTGACTCCCCTTTGCACCAACAATCTGACTGGCATCATAGACCTGCAAGGATCATGGGAAGTTGATCTGTTTGTTAAGCGTGTCGAGGCACTTGAGGCAGAGCAGGACCCGCTCATCAGGGACCTGCTGGAGGCCAGAGCGGCTTGGGTTGCCGACCCGAGCCTCATTAACCCTATGGCCTTGTCCACCACTATAACTCGTGCCTTTGGCACTCACAGAGTGCGTCGTGTCTTTCCGGATCTACCAGACCCAGTCCTGGCCGATATCTCGGTTGACGACTTCTTTGCTGGCAAACGCGGGTCCGTGACGCTGCCAGACATTGGGGAGGCCAAGGAAGGTCTTCGCGCGACCTTGTCGGCAGTGGCCACGCAGCGGGGTCTGGCAGTGACGTGGAAGGGAGATCAACTTGAGGTGGTCGGGACCTTCGGCTTGTTTAAATGTATCAACGGTCCCACCGTTGACATACCAGACTTCCCGGCCGAGTGGGTACAGCAGACTCGACGTCATAGCGAGACTGTCGGAGTCTCGCGGTCGAGAGGAGCCCTAAGCCGCCGCCGCGGGCCCCATTCGTTTGGGACCCGTTGCTCCGGCTGGTGCAGACGGCGGGGAAACATCAGGAGGGGGGCTGCCCGATCCTGCCCTTGTCGTTCAATGTCAGGGATCTTGTCGCCAAAGATCATAACTCGCTCTCTCCGGCGGAGAGCCTCAAATTCCGAGGAGGCGAAGACGGTGAGGCCGCCTGGCTGGCTCTCCCGAAGAGCAGAAGGAGAAGTTTTCAAAGGCGTTTCCGATGGGCTATTCCCGGACGGCTGAGGAGGTGGCCCTAGCTGCCATGGCCTGCCTTAAGCGGATCGGGGGCAATATCATACCCCCCGATCTCCTCGTGCCTGTCACTCCTGGCCCAGCGGGGTGCTTGGTCCCTTCGTATGTCGGTGTGGACCAAGAGGTTCGGCGGATAGTCGGCCGGACACCGGGATGGGGTTGGGGGCGATGGCGCGGCCGCGCCGGTGTCTAGGTGAACGAAGGAAGTCGGGCCCAAGGTAGCCATTCGTGGTGCGCGTCGGGCTGTCCGGGGGGCCTTGCTGAGAGGGGGTTCGCGGAGAGCAGGTTTAGCCTGGTGGCCTTCGTTGACCTAGCCAGAGGGGAGACTAACCGTCACGTGCCCGGGGCGTCCCCGGCCGTAGCACCCGCCGTTCATATAAAGCTAACGCTGCCTGGTCGGAGTTCGGGTGTGAAAGCCGGTGGCGCTTCGGCCGCATTCGGAGCCCCCCTATGTCCTTATCCATGGATGCGACCTCACGCCTTCAAAACTGAAAACCGGACATGATCTCAAGTTTCAAGTTAAGAACTTCCATTCATCCTACCCCTAAGGCTAGTCTATATAGAGCTATGACTTTCATCGCTATGGGCAGGAGCCAGCTGAGTTTGTATTGCTTGGAAGTTGGAGGGGTGATGTGCTAGGGAGCTAAACCCCGTCCCTGTCTCCCATATTGTCTGCTATAATAGTTTAAACTGTCAGTCAAAGAGAAGCGGGAGGGCGAGGCAATTGCCCCCCTTGCCTTGCCCTCTTCTTCCGATGCCACTAATAGGGTATGCAAACTTGGGGATTCCCTGCCATAAATAAATGCAACCCCTTATGGCTGCCACTGCATACAAAGGAAAAAAAGAGAGATGTGGTTCATTTTTCTCTTAGATGTTCATATCAGAGGGGATACAAACAGTCGTGGGTAGTTGCGGCTGAGTGAGCCAGCAGTGAGTGCTGCCTAAGTGTTCGATTCGGACTCTCGTTTAATCGGCAAGAAAACAAGTACCAGACAACTATTGGAACGTATCCTGTGAATGGCTCCTGGGATTTTCGCAAATGGTCTCTTGTCTTACAAATGAATGCACTCCTATTAACTAAGGGCACTTAGCGAGCTATATATCCGAGGGTAAAAGACTAAAAACAATGGAAAAGTAACAGAAACCAACAACACTTCTACTTGTTCATTGTTTTTAGCGCTTTTTCCCTCGGAAATATGGATCACCAACTAGCCCAAGTGCATACCCTTCTACACTTAGTGAGTTGCTTCCTCCCTTCTCATACTGCTGAGTCTACATTTAAGCATTCATTCTTCGCAGGAGGACCGACACGACAGATTGACCTATCCGCTGATGCGAATTGACAAAGAGGACTCAAAGGCCATAACTGCGGTGTTGGAGAACCACTTATTTGAGGTGACGGACGGATTGGGCACTTCATTGATTTGAAGTACGATATAAAGTCTGCCTTGGCTTTGGATCTCATCACAAAGTAAGAAACTTGTTCACCAGAGGGAATATGTGTGCCATTTTTGCCTTTTTTTCCCATGTCCTAACATTAAAGTGTTGGCTTATTGAGCTCTATTCTACTTTTTTTATCCTTTCTATGCTGACTTTTCATGAAAACCTATGGCCTCCGAACAGGCTCATGCTCCCTCTTTTATGTCCTTTTTCAGCTGCACTTCCACATTTCCAATGCAACCCTCCCCTTGTGAACATATACATAGCTGCTTTTAGATTTTAGGGCTACTGTTCATTGCAAAGTGCTTGAGTTGTCTCAAGTTGTATGTAGCAGCTCCCATAATAAGGACAGAAGTACTATTCCACATTACAGAGAAATCAAGGGAGGTATTGAAATTTGATACAACAGCTGCAAAAATAAAAGTACAGTGGTCGCACTTCAACAGGCTAAAAATGCCACTTGCCAGTAGAGTTTTTTTTGTTTCAGCAAACGTTTGACTAACAAGGAGCCAATTGTACACTTCCCTTCCCCTAATTCTGTTAGCAGGCATTTACGTTACTTTTTACTGGGTGATTTTACACTCAGCACATAACACTATACTTGAGCAGAGTTCGTGTGAACCCTTCCTGGAAAGTGTGCTTAACTGTTTATTACTGAGTTTAGGCAACACTTCCAAATGGGGTTGTACTTACTCTACAAAATTCTTTAGTGCGAGTAATTAAATCCCCAATTCAAGTGTTGCCTAACTCTGTATGAAAGAGTAAAGCAGTCTCCAGGAAGGGATCATATAAACTGCTAAGTTTGCTGTTATGTAATATTAATTCTTGCTATAGAGCACACTAAACTTTTTAATACGGAGTGCAGGCACCACTTCTAAGGTTACAATAACTCTTCCTGGAGAGCGTGCTTAACTCTTTAGTACAGAGTTCAGGCAACACTTTTTCTTACATACGACAGACTGGTTGTCGCTTAAACAATTGTATTTAGGAGCAAAAAAGGGCAGTTAAAATAATGCACCAAACTCTGAAATTCAAAACCTGTAGACAGTCCTGACTCTTGCAAAACCATTTGTGTGACTATAGAAAAGTTAAGTGAGCACTCGTATGGGAGAGTAAAACATACACTAGTCGTGGAAAGGTAACGATTACCTATCCCTAGCAGGGATAGGCGGTATTTCAAATACAAGTAATTGAAATATGTATTTCAAATACTTTGTGTATTTTGAATTTCTATTTAATTACAAATTGGGTAATGCATTTGACGTGTGTATTTAAATACTAAAAGGTGGGTATTTCAAATACAATTGTAATTAAATACAATTTTGTGGGCGAAAATACATCCCTCAAATTTATTGGCACTGTCCAGAGCAGAAAGAAAACTACGTTCTGCACCGAATGCAGTGTCTCTTAATCAAGCACAAGCGTTTAGTGACTTTGTGATTACGGTGCTAGTCCAGGGCAAGAATAGTGATGAAATCGACGTTCACAGGCAGACTGGCTAAATAAGCGCCTGTGACAACTTGTGATGCTTTCCAGCCTGATTTCCATCCATAATTTTGCCTGGAACATTCTAAATGCGCGTGTCGTCCAGATTTTCGTTAACTGGTGCGAGTTGCAACAATAAAAAATTCTTTAGCTAGTGCTCCGTGTCTTGGTCGTCTCGGTTCTTTGTTGGTATATACCAACATGTAATCGACAAAAAAAGCTGCTTGAGGCTCTGTACTTTTTCACCTATTACGTCCAAGCTGATTACATTTGTTGTGATTATATTTCTATTACGTTACTAGAGCCTCGCAAACTTACTCCAGAGTGTGCGTAGAGATACGTAGAAACCCGTTGCAGGTGCCCTGAAGTCGCTCTCGCAAATTTTGAGGAATGTATTTAGAAAAGTATTTGGAAGAGAACAAATACATTTGGTTCTATTTGTATCTTGTATTTAAATGCTTTTTGTAGCGTGAGCTACACTGGCCGAAATTGAGCAGTTTCGCGTGGCTGGCATAATGAGCCATGCTCCGTGCTGCGCAAGTGCGAGGAGCAGTGACGTCGCACGGCGCACAGCTGGCGGGGCGGAGGCCAAGTCGCCGCGGGATCCGCCGCCACCGCGCTCGCCTCGCCAGTCTTCGCATTCCAGAGGAGTGACGTCACAGCCACGGCAGACGCACTGGCGGCGCCGCGTGCCCAGCTATGTGCCTCCGTTGCGCAGTAGCCAAGTCTGACGCTGCACCGGAGCTGCTTGATAGCACCTCTCATTTTATGCGCCTAAGCTCACGCTGCGTATATCCTGGCATAGCCGAGCTAAGCCACCGCAATTTTTTTAAATGTAATTAGACTCGTAATTAAATACATTTTTGACGAAGTATTTTTGTATTTGTATTTTGATACATATTTGCATGTATTTTTCATATTCCTGGTCCCTAGAGAGAGTATAGCTTGCGATAACCCGGATTCTCTCCAAAAAGAGTACATTCAACACCCGTCCATTCCTTTTTTTAATTATTTTTTTAAGAGTGTAGAGTTAACATAATAATCCGAAACGAAAGGTCCCCTGCGTTTGGCCGCTTCGAAATGGCGGAACATAGAAGCGGAGATCGGCGGTCCCAGTTCGCGATTTCGATGAGCCCTATCGCTGCCGAAGCCTTTATATGCACCAAGATGCAGCCAAACATCACCAGTAAAGTCTTTACCTTGTTATTTTCTGTCTTTGCAGAAGAACACAGGAGTCGCGCAGTGATAAATTTAAATAAACCTGACAAGTGCTCGAGCAACTTCAACTTGTCGCGGCAAAACGAACACGCCTAACTTTTTGTTTGCTTTATTTCTCTGCCTTTTTTCGCTCTTTCTCTCGGGACTGGAGATGTTAGCGCCCAGGACTTGCCGTGTTCTACTCCTGTCTTTACCCGCCTGGTTGAGGTTGTGCCGGCGTGTCCGTTGGGAGCCATTCATAATGTCGGCAAACCGATTGCTCGAGCGTCGCCTTGTCCTGGTTCCTAATGATTTCCGGAATTCTAGAAAAACCAATATTGCTGGCCGTGGCTCCGTTGACACCAAGTTTTACGGCTAAAACAATCACAGAGCAACTGACTGTCTTCAACCTCGAGTGGGTGCACAAAGTACCATGCAGACAAGGCCCCAAAGGACACAAAACATAGGATAACAGCAATGAATGCCTCCAACATGGATTCCAGTGGGTTTTGATCAGATCCACGAAGAGGTAGCAGCATTGAACCATGGTATTGTGCAACAACCCTATACTGGTAACAAGTTACTGCTCCGTTCTAATTTACAACCAACTGTCTTTGACACTTTCAATCCAATCCGAGATCCAATCCGCTGTCACTCCGTGCGTGTCGCCAGCATTGCTCGCCTTGGCTGCTCTGGTTTCTCACTTTCGCTTGTTCTTTCGATAGCTTCTTGCCAACCAGTCGTTCCACTACCACCTAGAGGTTAAAAACTAATTCGTAGTGTTCACAATGATCTACGGGTACATAAAGTACATGAAAGGCGGGAAACGGGCCATTTTGCCATTTTCTCTCATCCTAAGGTTCGCGCCGAAGTCGACCGAGGACCTCACTCCTACTTTTGTGAAAGCATACTAGTAAAAGCCAAGTGAAGAAAAGGAAGGCTAATAAGATGCCAATGTGATCCAACCTGGCAGTAAGTATAGGGTGACTGAAATAACCAGGCTCGATCTAAAATGGGCCATAAAAATTGGCGCCTGCACATAGCAATCTGAACTTTGTGTCAAAGGTATATTTCACAGGTTGGTTTTTGTAAAATTACAAAGCGTAGCTCCCTTTCTGCAAAACATAGGGCTAAAAAACTTGCAAGGGTAAACAACGGATGGCGACGTAAACGACCAAGTCGAGCGGCGAGGCGCGTTTGGCGTCCGGTTTTCCGCAGCTCGCCAAGGCCTGGCTTCAAGACGCGCCCGCCGCAGCTCGCAAGACTCCCTGACTACTACAAGATCATCATCCGTGCACGTGGTGGCCTCAACCTAAGCTCGATGAGCACAGGCAAGCTGCAAGACTTCGTCTTTAACACTGCCCAGACCAATTACAACGTGGCACGCGATGATAAAATTCGAATCAATGCCATTCAAAACTATACTACTCAGCACCCCCTCTGAAGGGCGAAGAGAACTATTTTCTGGCCACATATATGGCAAATCCTGCGAAGATCTCACGCGGAATCATCTTTAATGTGCCAGATTACGGTCCACCGGAGAACATCAGCCAATACCTAATCGACTGCAATCACGACCCGGCTATTCTCCTTGCCCGTCGGATGTCTCTCATCACCGCCCCTCTCTACGGCAAAAGGTCCAAACCCTACGGCAAAAGGTCCAAACTCTACGGCAAAAGGTCCAAACCCTCACACAATAAATCACTGCCGTTTAGAAGGAAAATGCAGACTTACGACCCCTCCTTAAACAGAAAGGTTACCCCTCCAGCGCCAACTCCTACCCCTCCAGCGCCCACTCCTACTCCTCCCCCACAACCCGTTGCAGTTGCCATATCCTCACCTGACAGCACCGCCCAGTCTGTCAAGCGTAGAGTAATCAATACTATGGCCTCAAAATCGTAGACAAATTACACCGACTCAGCGTCAATGACCGAAATGTCTCGCATTTTCAGTGCCAGACTGCAAACCTTAGAGCAAAACGTTACAGCCGTTGTACGGCGATAGAAAACGCTGTCTCAAAGTACTCCTCCAGATTGGCCCAACTCACCAGTCAAATAAACCAACTCACCAACATCTCATCCCAGTTGGGGTCCTAAACTCCTCCACCACCCCCACCATCCATACCCTACCTCTAACAGTGCATCCCTCAATATGGCTTTACCTCTCCCACGCCCGCCACGCCTCAGTAGGCACCAAACCACTATCTGGCAATGGAATTACCACAGCTTCCGACTGAAGCGTGGCTATCTTTAACACTGCCTCCAGTCCCTCCAAACTCCCCCCGATATCATATTGATTCAGAAAACCCGCCGCGCGGTCAAACTAGCCATCTATAGAGCCTTCCAAACT